ATTTATTGGAGTTTGTGTTTTTTTTGTATTGTTTATGAGTGATAAGTTTAAATTTTTATTAAAAAAATTTTAAAAATAACTTTTAGAGATAGAAAAAAGTGAATAAAAAAATTTTAAAAAATTTGAATTTGAAATTTTTGATTTTTTACTGATTTAGTAGCTTTTTAAAGGTAAAAAAATTTTAAAAATATAAGTTTTTAAAAGAAAATTTTAAAATGATGAAATATAAATAGTATCTTGAAAACTGCAGCTCTACCAAGGTGCAACAAACAATGTTTAAGAGCTGTTTGATACAACTTGTTGGAGTTATTATTTTTTAGTAATAAGTTAAATTTTTATTAAAAAAAATTTAAAAATTATTTTTAGAGTTAAAAAAAATAAATAAAAAAATTTATGAAAAATTTTAATTTAAAATTTTTGATTTTTTTATTATTTAAGGTTTTTTTAAAATTAAAAAAATATTTAAAAATATTATTTTTAAAAAAAAATTTAAACTTATAAATTATAAATAATATTAAAAAATTAAAACATTTGAAAGGTTACACCAAACATACCCTAAAATATCTTGATATTCGAGATTCACGTGATTCACGGTTTGATGAACGGCCGTCACATGTTAATACGTGTTGAAAATCCGAAAATCCAAATCTAAAATCAAGCAATGGTAATGTGAATTCAATTCGACGAAACTTGACCTTAATTAAGTAGTGACTGTTACTAGTCCTAGCCAGGACATTGGAACTGACATGTGGCTGTCCAATGGGGTTGGTGAATTGGTTAGGTGTAGGTGAGAGAGTGAGATGGACAACCCTCACCACCACCCTCCAATAATGACATTACACATTATTTTCACACCATTTAATTGATTATCATAATTTAGGCTTTTCATGACTTTTTTTTTTTTTTTTGGAACGGTGGAAAATTAGGGAATTGGAGAATAATTACAATAATAATATACAGCTTGATTTTTTTTATCAAAAAGTTAGAATTATTGATGCATTTTCGTCGTAATTAAGACTATAAGTGTAGATTTTTCAAAAAAAAAAAATCTAATTATATTTTATGTAATGAAATGCTTTGCATTCAATCTCAATGTCTTATTGTGGTTGGTTGTTGTCGGCAAGAGACAGGCTTCACATGTTTTTATGATATGTAAAAATTAAATATTAAATTTTAAACTACTTTAAAATATAAAAAAATATTACACCAAATCATGTGATTGATTTAAAAGTAATTTTATATAACTTATTTTGCTCAAAACTATTGCATGTGATCTTGAGTTTAGTTTAATTATTTAATAAAAAATTTTAAATTTATTATCTTTTTCAAAAAAATACAAACAATTTGGTGATAAAAGAATGTCAAATCAAGAACATTCACATTGTTTATTTTATTTTATTTTTATTTTTACAAGGATAATGATTAAAAAATTAATGTGAATTAATTGTTAACAACTGAAATCCTTAGATTGAATGAATATTTCACCCCCTCAAATGAAGCACACGATCATCAAATCACTTTTTGATGGAGTTCATGATTATGATAAAATTTAAAATTTTGATCACCACTTCACTCAAATCCTAAAGTTCGGGGTGAACCATTGGGTTTAAGCCCCGGTTCGCATTCGCGTTGTTTATGAAATGTTGAAATCCACGTTATAAACACATCGGGGGTGTTGGTCTTCACCTAACTCCTCGGAATTTACAAATTGGATTAATGGGGTAGGTTTGTTTGGTTGAATTAATTTAATTAGTCTCTTATAAAACATATGATATAGCATAGCATTGACATTTCTTCTTCGTCTTCGTCTGTATTACACACAGAGGAAAGCAAAAAGCTCATTTCTTTACTTCCATGGCTTGCGAATAAGAAGAGAAAATACATGGCATTCCCAACCCAATCTAACCTAACATATACCATAGTTGTTATCTTCATGTCATGGGGCAACAGACATTTATATCTAGCAACAAGCTATTTTCACCACAAACTATCCCACTAAGACACACAAGGAGGATGATAATCCACATGAAGGAAAGAAACTTACTGTTACTTCCTGGTTGACACATTAGGTTTATCATTGAATGCAGGTCAGGCCCAATAACTGCTTCCGGATAATCTTTCTGAACTGCTTCTGGATTTCTGTTGGCTGCTGTTGGTTGTTGCAGCAAGTGGAGGGAAGGATGATTCTGCCAGCAGATCATAGTTACACTCTTGTTGTGTGTTACAATGTCTTGAAGATGGCTCACAATCTGTGGTTGCTAATGACGAAAAAGGACCAACAATTGAATTAACTTCACGAGTTCCTGAATCACTGGTAACTACTTGGGCCCTTGTTGGAGTATCGTGCAGCCTTTCTGCATGACCTATTGCTAGACTAGTCCAAGTTACTGACGAAATTAGACTACTTGGTGAATCAAGAAGAGAACCGTGTTCCCCTCCCTCATGATTCTGCTCATAACTCCGTTGATACTGGAAGCTTACTGGTATCTGCAAAATAGATTGATGAAACAGGAAGAAGCAATTTATAATCTCGATGTGATAAAATACCAGAAGGCAGCAAAACATAGAAACTAAATGTCTGAAATGAGGAAGAAACTAGAAAAGAAAAAGTACAAAAGAAATGAAATGAGAGGTCTAAGAGTTAAGAGGGACTCCATTAACATTGATAAGAAACCAAAAACGTCAAAAATACCTGCAGTGTGGCATTACGCTTAGAACGGGACTTGCGTCCTCCATGTTCAATGGCTGTATGCCTCTGTGAATATGATGAAAAAAAGATCAAGTGCCAATGAGTTGTCAAAACTGAACCAGGAATATATGCATGATAAAAAAAAAATGATTATATATAAATGTGCTAAGATATGACCTTCAATTCAGAATTAGTTGAAAACACAACGAACTTTTTGGAGAGACAGTCCTCATCCTCACATAAGAAGTGCTCTTGACGAAAATGAATCTGTGGTTCAGTAAACTGATATTAATTCAGAAACAAACATAACCAAGGAAGTGTGGGAGAAGAGCCAGGCTATTAAGATATGAGAAAACATAACATTTCTGACCTCCATGTCATCATAATTCCTATAGTACTCATGCTGTCCCGGATGCTGCCTGTATCAAGCCAAATGGATGAGACGCACATTATAGAGTATTAGTATGCCTAAAATTTATAGTCTGTAAACTGCAAAAGTTTTATTAAGGAAAAGCATGACTTACCTTTGGCATATATGGCAAGTATAATGTTCAGTTGACATATGTAAGTATAGCTCATTGTCTCCATAAAATGGGTTTTGACAGAATTCACACAAAGGATGTCCTGCAAATCCACCTCTCTCACTCTCATTGCCATCAACTGTTGAGTCACCTGTCCTTATATGCTGAATCAACTGTGCTTTACTATATAACTTTTGCTCACATATAAATACCTGGTTCAAAAAATACAAGACAAAGTCAAAGGTATCATTGTGTAAGTATTGATATTCATGCCTCCAGACCAATAATAAAAATCTACATCATGATATCAATCAGTGGACAACTAATGTAGGAGCTAAAAGAAAATACATCCATTATTATGGCATAAAGCAGACTATCAAATTTTCATGCAGACTCACAATGAGAAACAACCTATTTCAATAACATTAGCAGCTCATGCCACATAACGGTCATCCTACCTTCCTGCCTTCCAAACACAAACTGCACATAAGCAGCTCATGCTGCTTGAGCAAATGACTTTTAAGCTGCTCAAAGTTCTCAAACTCCCCCTGTCTCTTTGATCCAGCAGTTCTTTGCTCATCCTTCTGACAAACAGCACAAGACAGCATGCACATGGCTTTCGTCATCTTGTACTGATGCAAGTCATCAAAGAATGCTTGTGTCCCTTCATGATACCAGTAAGGCCCAACTTGACCTTCAGGTGGATCATCTGGAAGTGCTGCAAAATCATTTATTTCCTTTGTATAATCGCCCAATGCCTGGAAAATGACCAGAACAAGTATTTTAAGACCAAGAGCACAGGACACCAATTATGGAGAAGATCAATGAAAATTCACAATTGGACCAATAGAGAATGAAACACCTTACCAAATAATAGAATTTACAGAATTTCAGGGTGTCAAAGTTACTACTTGCTGAAATCTAAAAAAAAAAAAAGAAATGTAGTTGAAAACACTAGAAATGTCACTAACTCTAGTAACAAAGATGATATTTGATTCACACTTGCAGAGGCAGCATCTGCGATCTTCACAAACAAGTCGAAGACGAATGACACAGGTAGAGCAGACCTCCTTATGGCCACAAGGCCCATAGGCAACCCACTTGAGGGTGTCAGCACAAACAACACAATAATCTTCCGTCACCTTTCTCACTGAAATGTGATAAATAAAATGAAAATAAAATATCCTCATAACCAGAAATAGATGATAACATTAAGGAGTTGTATACCATTCTGCATCCAAAATTAGCTCAGCAAATACAATACAATACAATCATTTTAGAACTCACAAATTGCAAAAATAAAAAATAAAAAAAATAATAAAAATAAAAAATCACTCCCATATCACTTTCTCTTAACTTAAAGGATTCCTTCAAAATTCATTGAATTTCCTTTTATCATTTTGAGCCTTTAATTCAGTATAAAGGTAATAATGCAAGTAGCCTTCATCCGCGAATAGAATCATATTAACCAAAAAAACAAAAAAAAGACTCATTGTACAAAAATTAAACTACTGTCCCTGCACTACAGAAATGCTGAAGTTTTGTATCTAAAGCAAATTCTAGAGTGGAATAATACATCATGATCCAAACCTGGTTCAGGTGCCAAGGCAGATGTCGAGGTATTTTCATCGATGCTGTTAGCTGGCACAGAATTAATCTGGCTCTTACTGTCTCCAATATATCTTAAAACATCGCTGAAGATAAAGTAGCCATTGTCTTGTGGAGCCAGAAAGAATGTTTGTGTGAACTTCTTTCTCACATTATCTTTAGCAATTAAATACCCAGTTACTAATACAATCACCCCTTTCTCATACGAATCCTGTGCATCTGCAGTTTCAATCTCTGCCGTATGGTCTTCATAATGCAGTGACAGAATCTTCTCATTGATTGCCTACATCAAAGCAATCAACAATGCAATCATTCAATTTGTAGTACAGGTAGGTTTAATTAAAAAGAAAGAATGGAAATAGACTAAAAGCCTGAGGTTGCATTACATTTTTTTCCCCTTTTAGCAAACAATTAAATTTAAGGGTATAAATAATCAGTACGTTCTCGTACAGCTCAAGAATGAGCATTACAAAGCTTCTTACTTTCATTGTTGTCACTGTTGTCATATTTCCATTCACATCTGGCCTGCTTAGAAAACTTGTATCTTGATAAAACCTATGCACCACTTCTGGTGAGTTGAGAAGAATATGGTAATACTGGTGAACAAAGGCATTCCCAACAACTTGGGCAGAGGAGGCAGGGGCAGTACTTCTTTCCTGCATTGCCATTGGCATGTTCATTCCAACTATCAGCAAATAAAACTCACAGAAGAAAAAAAAAAACTACAAGTTGTGCTAATTAATAAAACATATACAAGGAATAACAATTATAAAAAGAGACACTTATAATAGAAAGGTTAATTTCAACATATAAATTCCTCCTTGAATGAATATCAATGGCAGCATAGATGATTAGATGATAGTAACCAGAAATCCCAGTCCACTACTATAGGCCACTGAGTAATGCATGTACTGATCTCCACATCTCAATAACTGAACATCCACTAACAGCTTGTCCCATATTACCCAAATTCAACCACTTATAGCATTAAGTATAATTAGTTAAGATCTCAACATTCCTGCAACATCTAGATGCAATCTCCATCCAGTACACCTAATAAAGGAATGTTCATTATAAAATCGCTAAGATCAATCACCTAACAGGTTCATTAAACCCTCTCACATTACGTGAGGCAAGTCGATCCATTAGATATAAGGGAGACAGAATTACTCACCCATGTAACAGCAGTTGCCTGTTGCTTCTCCTTCTGACTATCACCAGATCCCACCTCGGTTATCTTCTGCTGAGAGGTAGGCCCTGGACCTCTCCCCTTCCCACGTCCACTGCCTTTCTTAGACCGGCCCATTTCCAGTGTTTGCAGCAGATTTGCAGCCCTGGCACACGTTATTCTATCAAGTGCCTTTTTGGGAGCAACTTACAACCGAAAGGTTAGTTTTAACCTGACAATTAATGACACAAAAACAAGGAATGACAATAATTTCCTATCCCTTCCACCCTAAGGACAACATGCATGCAATGTCTATGTTGGAACAATGAAATATTAATCAGCAAAAAATTTACAAACACAGAATAAATACTAAAAGCTGAGAAGATGGAAGACCAAATGCAACATATTCAAGCACATGAACATCTTCATTTTTGGTGTATGATAGAACATGGAGAGGAAAGTGAACAGCCAGTTCACCACAAGCCCAAATTATATTGTAATATAAGAATTAAGAATGTTAAAAGCAATGCAGAAATCTTCATGCTTTATCAATTTTACCATTTGCTTTATAAAAAGGGTTTTGAAAATCCAAAAACTAAGTAAATGATAGTGATCTAATAGCGGCAGCAGAAGCCTGATAGTTGTAAAGCTTTAGCCTTGAATACTTTGACAACAACCAACCTAAACAGTTAAAAAAAGTACCCAAATTAAACCAGAGGGAAAAAGAAATCCAACTAACAAGATATACAATTTCAAGTGAAATGGAAATGGGTTAATTATAGAAAAGAGATAGAAGTTTTAAGTGTGGGGAAAAAACACTGTAGAGTCAGAGCAAACAGGGGAAATATAAACCCCAGAACAAAAGCAAATAAAAACCTAGAAAACACTCCTGGATATCAACGGTATTAAAGAACAAATTCTTGAGCAACACAGCAAGTGATTAACAAAACTATACACTGCAAAGATTTGTTAACAGATTCTAACCCGAGAGAGAAGGTAATGGAAAAAGGAAGGATTCGAAGTTGATGGATTTCAGGACGATCGGTGGACTTTGGGAGAACAGCGACAGTCAGCAGAGACAGTAACAGCAAGGAAATTAAGGAGACGACTAAGAAGTAAGTATAACGAATAATACTTGGAGTTTACCAAAAAGAAAAACCGAACAGAGGAGTGCTAGGAGCACTCGCTCTAGCACTCTCCATTTCAACACCCTCTCCCCTATTTTGCCACATCATTCGGACCTGTAAATCTTTGACAGGCAACCTGTCTACACCCTTGGGCATCAACCAATCATTAGCCACAATTTTCATTTATTAAAATTTTTCAAGAATTTCTCTTTCCCCTCGCGTCCATTTCCATTCCTTTCTCCACCACTCTCTTCCCAAACCAGGCTATGTCTTGCTCCCTAATAATCTGAAGGCCAATCCTAGATTTTAATTCAACAGCACCCTTTCTATTCTACCTTTCCCACTTTCCTGTCTTTAACGTCATTCTCCCTCATTCTCGTTTTCTATATCTCCTACAAGATTTCCAATCTTTTAATCCATATCTTCATATCAAGCTTGGGTTTTGCAATAGATTTATTATTTTTTCTTTAGTAGGTGAGAATCAGTAGAGGAGGGAAATGGAAGTAATATTATGAAATTTTCCTAATTTTCCGGGGAGTATTTGTATTAAGGATTTGCAGAAATATGAAGCAAAGATGAAAGTTTTTGGGCTGTGCTCAATAATACCTAAAGGTGGATGATGACAAAGTACGTGAGTTTGAGACAGACCCATTGGCAGTCACGTCTTAATTTTGCTAGGAATTGAGAAGTATTTAATGATTTGTAGAAAAGATATAGAAAAAAAAAAAAAAGGAGAAAGGAAAAAGGGAAGAACAAGAAGAATATAAAGGAAAGTGTTATAGTGTTTAATTTTGTTGGAGGTAAAACATACCCCAAGTACTATGGCATGTTCAGTGATATATATTTGAGAAGCTTTTCATCTCTTTCGATAGACCAGAGACCTCCATTCACCCTCTGATTGTTGCAGTAGCAGTGGCCAATTTAGTTTTCCTACTTCTTCCTTATTTGCAAATTCAAGGTTTTCAGTACTCTATTTGTCCATGGTAGTGATCAGTTATGTGTTTTCTGAGAGGAAAGATGAAAGTATTGGGATGTGGGGTGGAAAGATTTGACTAAAACCAGTTTATAGTTAAGGGAACGACCATGACGGTGGGCATTGAAACGCAGAAGACTCCAAGAATTTTCTTTTTCTTCTTCTCTCTTCCCTTCTTAAATTCGCCACAACTTTTATTTTTTTTATTTGTACCATCCAATATTTAAAAATCCATTAGATCTTTGAATTTAAGTTGGATATGATTCTTTTTTTATTTGTACCATCTAATATTTAAAAATCTATTAGATCTTTGAATTTAAATTGGATATGATTCAATCAATGATAAAATTCTTAAATTTTAATGAAATTATATTTTTAAAATTTAAAAATAAAATTTTCAATTAAATCGAAAAAATTTCTTACCAATTCATTCATTTACCTACGAATGAATACAACCTTTTATACTTCGGGTTTTATAGTTTGTTTAATAGTTTTGTCTTTTAGCAATTTACTTGTAATTGTCGGTTCCAGTTAAAGTCTTAATTTCCAAAGTCACGTGGCAAAACAAAGGGGAGAGTGTTCTAGAGCAAGTGCTGGAGCGAGTGCTCCTAACACTGCTCAACCGAGTAATACTTGGCGGGGACAAAGGAAGGGGACAGCAGCGTACATGCGAAGTAGATTCAATCCTTGTACAGAGAAAAAAAAACAAAAAACATGCGAAGTAGACAAGTGTTTTCCTTTTTTGGTAAACAGGCAAGTGTTTTCGTTAGTGGGCTAGACGTCCCTTTTACATCGCCTTAGACATTAATAAAATGAAAAATTATTTTATAGTTTAAAATGTTATAAATTATAAAATAATAA